TTAACCCTCTCTGCTCTCATAAAAAAAAAAAAAAGCCGACATTTTGGGGGCCTCTGCTGTAAACTTAGAAATTAATTTCTCCACTATACCTACAGACGTGAATGAGAGCTTGTATGAACCCCTTAAAACTATATCAACAACAGGAGGAATGGGCTCCTGACCATGCGATAGCCAAACACACAACATGATCAGGAATATATTCCCCTTATCATAAACAACAACAACAGCTTAGCCCCAGTGCTGAGAGCATACAGTGAGCAAGCTTCCAGCACTGAATATAGGACACATATGTATGTTGGCTGGTCATTAACCCATGTTCTTGCTGCCACATGTGTGAGCTGGTCAGCAAGAGGTTGAATTGTTTTTACTACTTTTTTCAGAAAACTTTGGTGTGTATTCTGTTATCCTTCTCCAGGTTTAAAGAAAAAAAAAAAAAAAAAACTGCAAGGGTTAGCTTTTTGTTCCATAAGTGAAGGACTAAAGGTGACCATACACCTTACAACCATTGCACAACTTTTGTTGTGCGATGGTTGCAAGGTGATTAAAATTTCATACAACCTGCCCATCACGGACAGGCAGATCGTACTTGTGATCATCGCAAGTCCTCCCCGCTGAGGGGAGGGCTTGCAGATGCTTGCAATGGTGAGCGGGCAGTGTGCGCTTGCGCACCCCGGGTCGTGCTGCTTTAGTCTTGCAATCTCGCTACCAACCCACCGAAAATCGTACGATTTTCGGCGGGTTTTCTAGCGTGCTCGTTATACGAAAATCGCACGACTGTAGACTAAGTGCGGTCACACGCTGCCCATCAACCTTACGATTATCGTACGATAATCGTCAGGTGCATGGGCACCTTTATACTTACCTGCTCCAAAAGGCTTCAAGGTGGCCCACAGCAGCCTCCGCCCTTTAAATCATCACATACTATGCAAGGCCCAAAACTCTACGTTATACGTGAGAACACTGAAGGACAGTCCACAAGTGGGAGTGCCGATTGGCAGGGAAGTGGGGATCAGGTACGTAAAAGGCCTTTTCGCCATACCCCTAGACATAAATGAGCAGTTAACCCTTGCAATGCAGGATCGCATCAGTGCAAGGGGTGTCCCCCCCCACCCCAGATATGGGCTTCAACTCTCACATCAAGCAAGAATGAACAGTTTTTTTTGGGGGGTGGATAAGCTTCTATTACACTGTGTTGATAGGCTTTGGCCCTGCGTCGATGACATCACTGAGATGCGTCTGAGCTCATTCACAATTCAATGACAGTTGCAGCACACCTACCCCTTACCCGTTTCTCGCAGATTTTGCACCCCCGTGGACATGTATGGAAATGCAAAACCTGCTTAAAATGAACAAAAGCCCATGGGCACAGATCCTCCAAACATTCCATTGCAATGCAATAATGTGTTAGATGTGGAATGTGATTGCATGCTTTGTGTACAGCTCCCCATCTGTAAGACCCGCTCATTCCCCTTCCCATCAGGTTTTGTTCCGTTGTCACTCTACAAAGGCAGCATTGTATTTACATTTGCTGAGAAAGGTAGGAACGTGCAAGAGAAAAGGAAAACACAACAAAAAAAACATCATGTAGTATAAAGTCATCAGAGCATGCCATCAGTATAACATTGTGTACACAAATCCCATGTGGAACAATCATCGGTCAGATTACCGGGAGCAGATTGAAGCTAATTCTGATTTTACACCTCGGACCACCGATCCCCATCGGATGAGAACAGAGAAAGAAAAGCGGAAGAGATGACAGCCGGTCCATCGGAGTGTAAAACCAGCACTGACCGAACCTGAGCCTGGTAATCTGGGTCGTAGAGCTGACACTCAGCTAGCCTGCCATAGATACACACACACACATATACATGTACATGATATCTGAAATAGATATGACATACACGGCTGCTATAAATACCCACCGGGGAAAAGGCAGACATGTTCGGGGAGAAGGGAGTGCACACAAACACAACAAACCGCGGAAAATGCTGAAATTTTTTTGCAAAATGAAAGCCGATCGGGCGGCAAGATTCCGGGCTCCATCGCGATGAAAGAGACCTCCTGTCGCGATAGGCGGCCCTGTGTGTTTCGGCTCCCCGGTGACCCCCCATGTCTGCCTCGCACACCCCCGGCTCAGGCCGCCGCCGCCGGCTGCCTCCTCTGGGCCGCCATTATCCTTTGTTTCGCGGCTCTTTTTTTTTTTTTTCCTCCAGCCGCCTTCACTCGGCCGGCCCGGGGCAGCGGGCTCTCCGTCCTTTCCACACGGCCGTACAGACATGACGAGCTGGCGGGAAAATGAAAAATCGTCGGTGGGTGTAAGCTTCCACACAGACCCCAGAGCCCCCCTGTGCGTGTGGCCGTCTGGGTGTGAGGAGAGCCCCGGCGCTGCGGCCTGCTCCATGTTTCTGCTCCAGCCTCTCCCTCTCCTCCTCCTTCCTCTTACCGGGTTACACTGCCTCTCCTCCGTCACTGCTTTCGTTCGCGGCTGGGATCTCGCTGGGCTTTTTTTATTCTCTTCCCCACCACGTAACACACCGCGTCAAACTACACCTCCGCCGCGTCACTGTGTAGCTTGCTCCTCTCTCTCCTTCCTCTGCTGGGCGGCTTCTTCTCTTTTTTTTTTTTTTTTCCAATCTCCACCAGGCGCGGCGTTGTGAGGCGGGTTCCACTCCGACAGGACACAGCCCGAGCTCAGCGCAAACAGCCAGCCAATCAACAGAGAGGGGGCGGAGGGACTTGCGTGGGAGCGGCGCGCATGCGCGGATAGGAACGGAAATGGCCGAACGTATCCGAAAGAAAAGACATGGCGTGTTCCCGGGCTTGTAGTGCGCGTTGGGGTGTTCACTTTTAGAGTGTACGATTTCTAGACGTTAGTAGACGTCTGCGCGCAGTGTTCTATGTGATCTAGCTATAAAGTTTAATTGCTGGGTTTATAAAACCATAGTGATAGTGCTGAGAATGGTCCCTTACCGTACGTTATGATGTTTGTGTTTTCTTACTGCCTGTTGCTTAGCTTCCAGATGCAACTAGCACTCTGTGAGATAATTTACACGTGTCCCCAAAATAGGCCCAGGTTTATCATGGCTAGCCTGAAAAGTGAGCCCACATTCACACCCGTGCGTTCCGTGAGCGCACACCTGGGTAGGAACGATGCAGAACGTGAAACGCACTTGCGTTTCCATTAACATATGACACCCCAATGACGCATATTTTTCCTCCCATGTTTGCACGCATTAAGGCTGGATTCAGACCTAAACGACACCTATTCAGCATGTTTTACGTGGTGCGTTTTTGTGAGCAGAGTTTGGTACATTCATGTCGATGAACAAAATGTGCGTAATGCGCGTGCAAATGACAATGCGTTTTTCAAGCGTTTTCCATTAAGTCTATGCGACAAAACAGGCAGAGATCAGCCCCAAAGTAGCTCATGTAGTATTTACTGCGACAGGCATATGTCTGTTTGCGACAAAACGCTGACATGTGCACAGGGGTCATAGACATAAATGGGATTCCTAGTGTTGAGCTGTTTGTTGCACTGATTTACGTGTGACAAACAGCTTAAGTGTGAATGGGGCCCAAAACATCAGCAAAAAGTTTCCCCGCACACTCTCCACCCTACCAACTTTTTGCTGTTGCTGTAAAGCTGGTGACAAATTGAAGAGTGCGTTTGCCATTTGTTTTGCTTGACTAAAACACATGAATGTTGCAAAATTTGCTACATGAGCTTTTTTGCCGCGTTTGTCATTCATTTTGGCCCCATTGAACTCAATGGAAACGTGCAGCACACGAGCACGTGCAAACGTGACACACAGGTGTGAATGCGGGCTTTTTCTGGATGTTCTGTTAGAATATGGTGAAAACGCTCCTGTGTGTATGCTTGTTTTTGTGCGTCGTGTCTAAGGCAGTTACAGGATAATTAAACCCTTGCCTGTTTTTGCAAATATCTACAGTTAGCCAGCAGCAGATATATGCAAAAACATTTTTTTTTTAAAGTTAACAAAAGGGTTAAAACTTACCTCTGTCTCCGCCGCTTGCTCCCGTCCGAAGATCTGAAGATTTTCTGGCGGCCGCAAAGGATCATAGGGCGGGCGCATGCACAGTAGAGATCTTTGGCTGAGAGAAGAGGAGAGACACAGGGTAAGTCAATGCAGCAGCTGCACCCGCACAGACTCAGTGGGACAGGAAGAGACAGGAGTCAGCGATGGATCAGAGACTGGCACCAGTACTGGATCAGAGACCGGGGGGGGATTTTTTGCTTTAATGCCACTTAAATTCAATTTGCATGGGCTGCACCATACACAACATTCACACCAAAGAAGTCCCTGCACCTTTTCTCCAAAGCATGCCACAGCAAAAGGCATAGTACTTTACCATGTGTGTTGGTGCAATTTCACACACAGGAAAGCGCATGATGCAGCAAAGTGCATTGGGTTGCCATTAACAATGAATCTTGGAAAGTATGCTGAAAATGTACCTCTTCATAAATGTTGCGGCAATAGATGTGAACGGAGCTTTATCATTTGTTAGCCCCATTCGCACTTAGTGCAATTTGTCGCACTTCTGTCATTGCACTACTATAACATGAATCTATATGATACCCTACACACCTATGCAACATGATACAGTGTGGTTTATGGTGCTTAATAGTGCGTTTTTAATCCCATAGACTTCAACGGAAGTGCATTCAAAACACATGTAAAGTGACAAACCCTTAGCCCCTAGCATAAAGGTGCCCACACACCTTGCGATAATCGTACGATAATCGCGGGAAATCCTGCGATCGTACGATTATCGCAAGGTGTGTGGAAGGCGTGCAACCTCTGCTACTGTAAGGTCGCACGTCTTTTATCTTAGGAACATGTTGGAAAACCCGCCGAGAATCGTACGATTGTCGGCGGGTGTGTGGCATGTTTGTAAGAAGCGCACACTGCCGTTCAGCATTGCAGTCATCAGAAGCAGCCCCTCAGCAGGGCTTGTTTGCGATCATCGCAAGTACGATCTGCCTGTCCAAGATGGGCAGATCGTAGGTTTTTTTAATTACCTTACAACCATTGCAAGACAAAAGTCTTGTGCTGGTTGTAAGGTGTGTGCCCAGCATTAGCCTATACTTAATTTCACCTTTAATGGCCAAAACACAAAGCACAACCCATGAAAACAGATGCAAAAGTGTAAACTTCATCCACATTTTTTTTTCAGGCCCTACTTACCTTGCCAGCTGGGTTGTCGTAAAAAAACACACTCACATGCCCAGCAAATCCAGCGCTGTCTGTTTTTTTGCTACGTCTCCCTGTGCTTGCGTGGGTTTCCTCAGGGTACTCCAGTTTCCTCCCACACTCCAAAGACATGCTGGAAGGTTAATTGGCTCCTCTCTAAATTGTCCCTGTATGTGTGCATGTGAGATAGGGACCTTTGATTGTAAGCTCCTTGAGGGCAGGGACTGATGTGAATATGAAACTATATAAATTGTCTGCGCTATATAAATACCTGTAATCAATAAATAGATGTCATCGGTAGTAGGTGGTCTCTTCAGGGTTTTTGCAGCTGGCCCCCTGATGATGTAGCACAAGTTATGCACAGTGTGTGGTGCATGGCTGCAAAGCCTGCTGGGATATATGACGTGAGTATTACAGGCGGTTGTGGGCACCATGGCTACAGCATGCTTGCCTAGATGAGAAACCAGAAATTGTGGGGCCAAGTTAATAAAAATAAAAATTATATATA